TGATGCAGGCGACTTTTTCGCCAGCATGCCAGCAGCCTTCTCTGGTCTGGTGCTGTGAAAGAAGATTAGTGAAAGCGCCCTTGGCAGTCTCAGTAAACTCCAGGGCCATGCTACCCTGGAATTCTATTGCATCATTGTATCATTGGTAGGGTGCAAGTCAGATTTAGCCTTATGTACATGAGCATCTGCTAATTTCCAATAATCAAACATCGCATACTTGAATTGTTTCATATTGAATTGTTTCTTCTGCAACAATCAGTCATACTGCCTTGACATCTTGTAATTAATTATAATAATAATTAGGGATGTTAAACAGTCCCAAAAGACCGGCGGACTGATGGTCTGTCCTTGGACTGGACTAGTCTTTTCTTAAAAAAGACCAACTGGTAGTCTTGCAGTCTTTATCACGTGAAAATGGTCCTAAAACGGTCTTTTTTCAAATAGGGACTGAAGTTTAAACCGGTCCATCTTGGACCGGTCTTGGACCATTTCTATAGTGAAATTGTTACACTAGATTGATATGTTATTGGTCCTAAAATGGTCTTTTTTCAAATAGGGACTGAAGTTTAAACTGGTCCGTCTTGGTCCGGTCTTGGTCCATTTCTATAGTGAAATTGTTACACTAGATTGATATGTTATCAGTCCTAAAATGGTCTTTTTTATAACCATCTTTAAAAAAAAAAAAAAAAAATTATACACTCTCTTTATTGAAAATTTATGATTTTACGACTTGTAATTTTTTTCCCTTTACTTCCAAATTTATGTTAACATTAATTTACTATTAATAATTACAAAAAATATTGAATTAAAAAAATCATTATATATAATTAATATATATATTTTTCAAAAAAATTTTTTAATTCTTATTATATAATATATATATATTTTTTAATAATATATTTTATTATATTAAATTAATAATATATTTTATTATATTAAATTAATAATATATTTCAAAAAAATTAAGAATTATTATTATATGTGAATTTTTTTCATTAAGACATTTTTTATGATTTATCATTAAGTTTATGTTTAAGAATATTAATTAGAACATTTAAATTTTATTATGAGTGAGAATAATCAATTTATAGATTTGACTGTAGGTGATAAAAATAATAATAATGATATTAATGAACAAATAATGGCATTGATGACTTGACAGAATCATCAACATTATCAAGTGGATCTGGTCCCTCAACAAATATTAATAACATTAATGGTACATCAGATGTTTGGATTTTCTTTAATAAAATTAACAATGGCAAGGCTCAATGTAAAACATGCAAAAGCATCTTTAGTGATAAGTCATCCACAACAACTTTGAGATGACATATTACAAACTTACATACAGGTTATTATGAAAAAATGAAACAGACCACTTTGAAACTTAATCAAGTTATACCATATTCAACAACTTCTCAAGAATATAAACTAATTACTGATAAACTGGTTAATTGGATTGCCATGGATACCTTACCATTTACTATTGTAGAAAGTCCAGCATTTCATGAATTTATATCATCTTTGAATGAAAAGTATGCTATTCCTTCTCAATTAAGTGTCAAAAATATTATTGTCACAAAATTTAATAGGGCCAGAATTCAAATAAAACAACAATTTGAAAAATTTGACTCAAAAGTTTCTTTTACAACTGACATTTGGAGCAATTTATCCAATGAGGCATTTATTGGTATAACTGTTCATTATATAGACAATAATTGGAATATGAGAAACTTTGTTTTAGATATTATCCAAATACAAGAGCAACATACTGGGATAAATATTGCTAATAAGATATTAGATATTATTGAAGAGTTTAATTTATGTACTAAAACATTAGCAATAACCAGTGACAATGCCTCCAATATGATTAAAGGTTGCAAAGATTTTGGAGAAATTTTGGAAGACACTTTTTATAATTATAATTTTATTCATCAGCATTGTGCTGCACATGTTATCAATATAGCAGTTAAACATGGGACGGAGTTAATTTTTTATGAATTATCAAAGCTTAAAAATTACGTAAAAAAAGTCAAAAATTCTGTTTTGTTATGTGATGAATTAAGAAAAATATCTCAAGCTAAAAATGTGACTGTCCTACACGTTGGAATTTGACCTATCTTATGCTGGAAAGACAAATAGAAACAAAGGAAATCAACCAACAACTTGTCAGGAACAATCCTAGTAGTGTTGAATTAGAATATTTGACTGAAAATGATTGGAAACAAATTGATGACTTGTGTGTTATTTTAAAACCATTATACATTGCAACCAAATTTTTATCATCAAGTTCACCCACTTTAAGTGATGTGTGCATTACTTTTACTGCATTAATTAGAGAATTGAAAAAGGTAATTGATGGCAACAATGAACATTATTTAATTGCAGATTCAGTTAATCATAAATTAAAAGAATATTGGAGTCTCATGGAAAATAACACACGAATCAGTTCTGTAATTGATCCGAGAAATAAATTATCTGGTTTTACACTACAAGAAATTGAAGAATTAAAAAATGAATTTAAAAATCTTATAGATACATATGAACTAGTGAATCAACAATTGTCTAATCAAAATTCACAACAAAATCCTAATCCAAATAGCCGTTCTTATTTTCTCTCCATGATTTCTTTACCTAATAACAATGATAATAGTAATCATCACACACAATCATCAACACAAGATGAACTTGAACGTTATTTACAACTACCAATTGTTACCAACGAAAACATTGATCCATTAAATTGGTGGAAAACACATCAAACAGAATTTCCAATGTTAGCAAGGATTGCCAAAGATTATCTCACTGTTCAGGCCACCTCTGTGCCTTGTGAACAATTATTTTCGCTTGCTAATCACACTATTCGTAAAACAAGATCAAGGCTTCACCCACAAACTGCAAGAGCTGCTATATGTCTAAAAAGTTGGTTATCCTATTTTTCAGAAATGGATAATGATAAAATTATTTTAGATGTTGTTGAAGAAACATCTACACTTGATGAAAATATAGAAGGTGATGAAGAGTTAAATTGGGTTGGGTTAATTGATGAATAATATGTAGTTTATTTTTAATATAGTTAATTTGTGATTTGTGATACAAGTGCACAAAATTTTGAAAATCAATTAGTAAATTGTGGGGATATCAAAACATAATAAATTCAAAACATGTTAAAATCTCAGCTTGCTTACTATACAAAGCATAGTGGACATTTGATTTCATTGGCTAAATTATGTGACGATCTCCCTTCCAGATATCACGCAAAAATTAAATTT